TTATCTTATCTTATCTTATCTTATCTTATCTTATCTTATCTTATCTAACAAATGGGACAAACCTCAGCTTGTATTATTGCTGAGAAAAGGGCAAGTTTAGACATCCATACTTGAGTATTTTAGATTTTGTGTTGTTGCAATTAGCATCCAGGAGGTTCTCTAAGCAGCTCCACAGCATATTGAACAAAAGTGGTGTTTAACTGTAATGTTAAAGGACAAGTTGAAAAATGGAAGGCAAAAAAACTATACTGTACTACAAGTCTGTACTACTACTAGACTATACTACAAGTTGAAATATGGAAGGCAAAAAAACTACAGTTTTTTACTTAGCAGCCACCTGATCAAATGAAAGATTCATCATGTCGGGTTACATGTTCTTACTGTAAATATTAATACCCGACTGAAGACGCAATGGTCTGAATACAACAAACAATAGGATGTTTGCAGGAAGAAGAGGATCAAAACATTTTTAAAATCTACTTCAAATTTACAACCAACGTCTTCGAGAAGCACGTCTCTTTTCACATAACCATCACAGATGGAGACATTACTGAAACTGTGTCAAAAAACACTTACAAAGAACACTTTATAAAAAGATTGTGCTTGGGCAGGCCACTTATTTTTAGACAAAACATGACAAGAAGAGGGTTAGAACATTTTGTAGCAACTGGGAAAATAAAAGGAAGAAGACGATGTGGACATCAGAGATAGAAGTTGACAGACAGCTTGAGCCGTTTCAAGGGCACAACACCTACCAGCCTCCTGCAGCTTGTGAAAGAGCTATGGGACCAGGCTGTTAAACTCATTTCCACTGAGGGCCACGTGAGCATTACAGTGGCCCTCAGAGGACCAGTTGTAATTAACTTMGACGTTTCGTGTTTAAACTAAACACAAAATGTCACGTTTCTTGTCTCGTTGCTACASCTGAGCACAGCTAACAAACAATATCTAGCAAACGTGGTCAGAAAAAATGCAGCCAAATAGAGATTTTACACAATGACTACTTTTAAASCCWGTGTATCTCCACTTAGTAGTGGGATGTTGTCATTTCAGGGGCAAAATAGTTGACATGCATTATGGGAGATGTAGATTATGGTCAATGCTGCTTTAAAACAGCAAATGCTGATTTTAAGACACATTTTTGAAGGACCACAAACACATGCCATGGCGGGCCACATTTGGCATGAAGACCTTGAGTTTGACATGTGTGGTGAACCATGGTCATCAAYGCCCTCTGGCATGGCACTTAGAGAGAGAAACACAACAGCAATAGCTATACAAATAAGCCCTCAACAATTACTCAATTAACAGCAAGAGTTTTATTTGTGAGGAAAGAAATGTTACGTAGGAGTGCTGAAACATTTGCATACCACAGTACAGTTAAAGTCCAACAGAGGAAAAAGACTGATCAGAAGATGAAAAGTGTGAGTATTACACAAGACTTTCAAATCGTCCTACAGTTTGAATTAATGAACACAAACGGATCAAATGTTTCTCATCTATACTGTATGTCCACTGTCACACTGATGGCACTCAAATGTTTTAAAAAATCAAAAACTATAAAAAAAAATTATGAAATGACTGCTGTAACACGTCCAGCTCCTGCACAAGGTCACGATTTGTTGTGTTTGTTGGTCTCTTCTCAGACTGTCCTGGAGGGGTTAGCCCAGAAGAACCACGTAACACAGATGAGGGCTCCAGACTCTGTCGTCCAGGCCGTGGTGCGGCAGGGGGAGCGTCTCTGTGCCGAGTCTGACCCCAGGAAAGGAGGCTATCCAGCTGGATATTAAACATCTCTTCCAGTTCTTGTCTGCACCCCACTCAGCGACGACAGTCTGCCTAAAACCGCTTAAACAGACGCACAAGAAAAAGCTGTCTATGTTGAAGATTTGTGATGCCTACAGAGACAGTGCCATCACTACTTCCCTTCAGAGATGGAAGCTGAACTATTTTCAAAACCTATTTTATTTAAACAATCTATTAATCTTTTTATAGTATTATTTTAGTGTTTTAAATTAAGATGATTTGCCTTATTTCACTCTTGTGTCATCGCTGCTGGAAACTGATTAAAATGAAGGAGCTTAAGAGACTAAAGCAGAAACCAAAGGAACATAATGTTACTGTTTGTAACATTGTATTAAGTTCTTGCTTGATAGAACATCCAGCATCTTAATAAAAGCAGCCAGGCTWCTGATTTACTGAGAACACAATGTATCATGAAGGAATGTTCCCTGATTTTATTGCAAACTATTCATCTGGGTAGAATGTTGTCCATGTGACGTTTTCAGTTCTTTTATAAGGAAAAACTGGTGCAATTATTTGGATTGTTTAAAAAAAAGAGGGGGTTTGTTTCTAAGGCAAACAGGTGAAATATCATCAGTTAAAACTGGACATGTGAGCAGGTTTACCAGTTTTACATAAGGACATCTCAGGTTGTTCGCCTGCTCTAACAAGCTGTTTACTCCTGACGTACGCGGATCCTCAAAAGAACATTATGTACTGAGAACTCAAAGCACTGTTTTTATTGTTATTTTACAGTCAAGGTACTTTTTGTTACTGTTTTCTATTGACCGGAGAGTCAATTTCATGTATTGTGTATTCTAAAAAAAAAATACATCTTCAGATATATTTTTCTAAACATGCATTGTTCTCATGCTGTTTTGTCACCATGATTGTTGAACACTAAAAAAAAATCATCAGTACTTTCCATTACTGTTATGTTATRTTAGGCATAAAATCTTAAATTCTCTCAAAGTTGTGGTTAGCCTGAATTTGTTGCTTAGTGGACGTGTGCTACGGAAACTGAGAAAACTGAGAAGAAAAAAGTTAAGCACTCAGACAGATGCAAAATGATTGGAATCATTACAATATCAGATGAAAGGTAAGGTTTGCACAGGCTCACTGAAGGTATCAGTGTGGGGTGGGGGGGCAAGACCCCCTTGAGATTGCTTACAAGCTGTGATTTGATGCAAAATGGAGTCATACAAACACTGCATCTTCAACTCACGACTGCTGTAAATGGACTGCAAGATCCATCAGAACCACACTGACTCAGAGTTTAGAACTTGGCTGATCCAACAGGTGTTCATTTGAAGAATATTGTGGGACCAGGCTGGCCATATGGAAACCTCAGTATGATGCAGGTATTGTGTGTGGACAGGAGTTTTCAGAATGTCAAGATGGAAAAGACCAAAAAGGAGGTGTAAAATAAATTTWAAAAAGAAAKGCTTTTATTGTGAAAGGGAAGGGGACGTGAAGCAGATAAGTATCCGTGGAGAGTGAGAGCAGTTGACTGATAGTGGCACTTCTTATTAGGATTTTACTTTTTTGCCGGTTTCAGAGGAGGGTCTGGAACCTTTATTGTGTGTGTGTGTGTGTGTGTGTGTGTGTGTGTGTGTGTGTGTGTGTG